GAACTCATTACCTGTATAAAAGACACCTGTCCACACACTCAATCAAACAGACTCCAACCTCTCCACAATGGTCAAGACCAGAGAGCTGTGTAAGGACATCAGGGATAAAATTGTAGACCTGCACAAGGCTGGGATTGGCTACAGGACAATAGGCAAGCAGCTTGGTGAGAAGGCAACAACTGTTGGCGCAATTATTAGAAAATGAAAAAGTTCAAGATGACGGTCAATCACCCTCGGTCTGGGGCTCCATGCAAGATCTCACCTTGTGGGGCATCAATGATCATTAGGAAGGTGAGGGATCAGCCAAGAACTACACGGCAGGACCTGGTCAATGACCTGAAGAGAGCTGGGACCACAGTCTCAAAGAAAACCATTAGTAACACACTACGCCGTCATGGATTAAAATCCTGCAGCGCACGCAAGGTCCCCCTGCTCAAGCCAGCGCATGTCCAGGCCCGTCTGAAGTTTGCCAATGACCATCTGGATGATCCAGAGAAGGAATGGGAGAAGGTCATGTGGTCTGATGAGATAAAAATATAGCTTTTTGGTCTAAACTCCACTCGCCGTGTTTGGAGGAAGAAGAAGGATGAGTACAACCCCAAGAACACCATCCCAACCGTGAAGCATGGAGGTGGAAACATCATTCTTTGGGGATGCTTTTCTGCAAAGGGGACAGGACGACTGCACCGTATTGAGGGGAGGATGGATGGGGCCATGTATCGCGAGATCTTGACCAACAACCTCCTTCCCTCAGTAAGAGCATTGAAGATGGGTCGTGGCTGGGTCTTCCAGCATGACAACGACCCGAAACACACAGCAAGGGCAACTAAGGAGTGGCTCCGTAAGAAGCATCTCAAGGTCCTGGAGTGGCCTAGCCAGTCTCCAGACCTGAACCCAATAGAAAATCTTTGGAGGGAGCTGAAAGTTCGTATTGCCCAGCGACAGCCCCGAAACCTGAAGGATCTGGAGAAGGTCTGTATGGAGGAGTGGGCCAAAATCCCATGCTGCAGTGTGTGCAAACCTGGTCAAGACCTACAGGAAACGTATGATCTCTGTAATTGCAAACAAAGGTTTCTGTACCAAATATTAAGTTCTGCTTTTCTGATGTATCAAATACTTATGTCATGCAATAAAATGCAAATTAATTACTTAAAAATCATACAATGTGATTTTCTGGATTTTTGTTTTAGATTCCGTCTCTCACAGTTGAAGTGTACCTATGATAAAAATTACAGACCTCTACATGCTTTGTAAGTAGGAAAACCTGCAAAATCAGCAGTGTATCAAATACTTGCTCTCCCCACTGTAAGTACATTATTTACCTTCAGAGGTGAATGTATCAAACCAGTTGCCATGATAAGTGTTTGTTGTTGTTGTGCACTCTCCTCAAACCATAGCATGGTATTTTTTCACAGTAATAGCTACTGTAAATTGGACAGTGCAGTTAGATTAACAAGAATGTAAGCTTTCTGCCCATATCAGACATGTCTATGTCCTGGAAAGTTTGCTGTTACTTACAACAGTCACGCTATTCACATTAGAGCACGTTAGCTCAACCTTCCCGTATACGGGACACCGATCCCGTAGAGGTTAAATATAAAGGTTATTTACAGTATCGACTCGGAAGCCTAGGTTTCTCACATACTTGTTAGGAAGGATGGCCACGTGAAACTAGTTAAGGTACAATGTAAGTTCTGTGATGAGATGATGTTAAGAGTTGATGACATACAGGTTAAATATACAGTTGATGACACCCTTTGTACCTTCCATCACCATCCCTCTCTTTAACTAGGATCCGCCTTTTAGATGATAACAAATTGCATTTTATGGATAAGGGGATCCTGATCCTAGATCAGCACTCCTACTCTGAGGCCCTTTTAGAGTACAGGCCAGGCCACCTCTGTTATGGAACTGTGGATGCCTCTCCACAGCCAAACAGCAGGGTTTGGGTGATCAATCAAGATCCTTTCTGGTGCTTTTCAACAGAGAAGAAAACATTGTCACCGACTCATAGAACTCTCATTCTGAAGTAGATGTTTTCCTCAAACGTAACCTTAAAGCTCATCCACCCACGACCCATAGCAGGGCTGGTTTCCTGGAAGCCAGCCCAGCCCAGAACACCTCTCCTGGGCCAAACAGCAGGGTCAAACATCGAGGTGGGCGGCAGGCAGGAGGAAGAAAACAGATCAAAACAGAACAACGAGAACACTGCCCCATAGTCCCCTGTAGCTCAGTTGGTAGAGCATGGCGTTTGCAACGCCAGGGTTGTGGGTTCATTTCCCACGGGGGGGACCAGTATGAAATAAAAAAATTAATGTATGCGCTCACCAACTGTAAGTCGCTCTGGATAAGAGCGTCTGCTAAATGACTAAAATGTAAATGGTACAGCTGTTGTTCTATTTTAATCAGTTCACTGCTGAGCTGAAGACAAGCTCTCTGTCTCTCTCTCACACACACACACCATATGAGCTGAAACATTGAGCAGTGCTCTGTTCCAGCCAGGCCAGAACAGTGCAAGAGTTCCCTGAGGATCGAAAGCTATAGGATCACTGTTCTTTAGTACTCTCTGCCCTCCCTTTAGAAATGGGCTTTGCTCTTTGCTCTGGCTTTGAATTGAATTCCAGGAGTGAAAATCCAAACTGGAAAGGATCGAGGCAATGGTCATAGTTGAGTTATGATTTCTTTGTTATCACTTGCTGAAAATAATGTAGAATGTTGTTTGTTCTGCTGTCAATTACGTTTTGTTGTATCTGTTCATAATTTTCCCTCTGTAATGAATTCATGCCATGCAACCTGGACGGTATACCATTTGTATCCCGTACATACGACTAATATAACTTGAAACTTGAATCTATGTTGGGGCTGAAACATTTTCCCTCTCCTGGCTCAGGTTTGAAAACCCAAATGATCTCAACGTACGTTTTCTACACTTTTCCCCCCAAAACAACGTTTTTTTGTCAGTGAAGGGAAACGTGGCTGTAACTAGGGCAGCCAGTGTCACATCCTGATCTGTTTCACCTGTCTTTGTGATTGTCTCCACCCCCCACCAGGTGTCTCCCAGGAGAGGGAAAATGTTTCAGCCCCAACATAGATTCAAGTTTCAAGTTATATTAGTCGTATTATTAAAAATAAAAGTTTTATCCCCTATGTATTTATACCTGTGTTTTCTGTTTGTCTGTTGCCAGTTCGTCAAGTCCTGTCAAGTCTTACCAGCGTGTTCCATGTTTTTCTTAGTCGTCCCAGTTCTGACCTTTCTGCCTGTCCTGATCCTGCCTGCCGTTCTGCACCTGCCTGACTCGGATTAGGACCCTTTGCCTGCCTGGACTTACCTTTTGTCTGCCCCTTGAACTATCATAAACAGAGACTCGTACTATCTGCATCTGGGTCTTAGCCTGAGCCGTGATAGCCAGGCTGATGCACCAAGCAGTTTGTTCCAGCAGTTCATCTCCCTGGCCTACAGAGAGAGCAGTACACGCACACCTTCTCCAATCAGAGACGTCAAAACACCAAGTGGGCGCCTAAAGCTCTCCCTTAATGTGGACACGGACCAGGCAGGTCAGACTCCCACAATGCATCACTTCACGTCTTTCACTCAGGGGGTACTGAGCTGTTATTGGCCTCTGACCTACGAGTCTATGTCTGCATTCCAAAAGGCACCCTATTCCCTATGTAGTGCACTACTTTTGACCAGGGGCTCTGGTCAAAAGTAGTGCACCATATAGGGTGCCATTTGGGACGCAAACTATGACTATGAGTCTAGGGACAGAGCAGCCACAACAGGGTGATGAAGAGGCTGCTTTAACATGGGTATTAATTAGCCCAGTCAGCCACAACAGGGTGATGAAGAGGCTGCTTTAACATGGGTATTAATTAGCCCAGTCAGCCACAACAGGGTGATGAAGAGGCTGCTTTAACATGGATATTAATTATTCCAGTCAGCCACAACAGGGTGATGAAGAGGCTGCTTTAACATGGGTATTAATTAGCCCAGTCAGCCACAACAGGGTGATGAAGAGGCTGCTTTAACATGGGTATTAATTAGCCCTGTCATGGAATGTGATGTCTCCATTCATTATCTGGCTTGTTAGCCTCGTTAGCCCTAATGTCTCATTAGCCTCGTTAGCCCTAATGGCTGTCTGAAACAGGAGCACCACGAGCATCTGCCTGACTGTTGGCCAGGAAAACAGAGCACAAGACAATAGGAAGGGCTGGTAGCCTCAGACATGATGCTGGTTGCCTCAGACATGATGCTGGTTGCCTCAGACATGATGCTGGTAGCCTGAGACATGATGCTGGTAGCCTCAGACATGATGCTGGTAGCCTCAGACATGATGCTGGTTGCCTCAGACATGATGCTAGTTGCCTCAGACATGATGCTGGTTGCCTCAGACATGATGCTGGTAGCCTCAGACATGATGCTGGTTGCCTCAGACATGATGCTGGTTGCCTCAGACATGATGCTGGTTGCCTCAGACATGATGCTGGTAGCCTCAGACATGATGCTGGTTGCCTCAGACATGATGCTGGTTGCCTCAGACATGATGCTGGTAGCCTCAGACATGATGCTGGTTGCCTCAGACATGATGCTGGTTACCTCAGACATGATGCTGGTAGCCTCAGACATGATGCTGGTAGCCTCAGACATGATGCTGGTTGCCTCAGACATGATGCTGGTTGCCTCAGACATGATGCTGGTAGCCTCAGACATGACGCTGGTTGCCTCAGACATGACGCTGGTAGCCTGAGACATGATGCTGGTAGCCTCACACATGAAGCTGGTTGCCTCAGACATGATGCTGGTTGCCTCAGACATGATGCTGGTTACCTCAGACATGATGCTGGTAGCCTCAGACATGATGCTGGTAGCCTCAGACATGATGCTGGTTGCCTCAGACATGATGCTGGTTGCCTCAGACCATATGCTGGTTGCCTCAGACATGAAGCTGGTAGCCTCAGACATGACGCTGGTTGCCTCAGACATGACGCTGGTAGCCTGAGACATGATGCTGGTAGCCTCACACATGAAGCTGGTTGCCTCAGACATGATGCTGGTTGCCTCAGACATGATGCTGGTTAACTCAGACATGATGCTGTTTGCCTCAGACATGGTGCTGGTAGACTCAGACATGATGCTGGTTGCAACAGACATGGTGCTGGTTGCAACAGACATGATGCTGGTAGCCTCAGATGATGCTGGTAGCCTCAGACATGATGCTGGTTGCCTCAGACATGATGCTGGTAGCCTCAGACATGATGCTGGTTGCCTCAGACATGATGCTGGTTGCCTCAGACATGATGCTGGTTGCCTCAGACATGATGCTGGTTGCCTCAGACATGATGCTGTTTGCCACAGACATGATGCTGGTAGACTCAGACATGATGCTGGTTGCAACAGACATGGTGCTGGTTGCAACAGACATGGTGCTGGTTGCCTCAGACATGATGCTGGTAGCCTCAGACTTGATGCTGGTTACCTCAGACATGATGCTGGTAGCCTCAGACATGATGCTGGTTGCCTCAGATATGATGCTGTTTGCCTTAGACATGATGCTGGTAGCCTGAGACATGATGCTGGTTGCCTCAGACATGACGCTGGTAGCCTCAGACATGATGCTGGTTGCCTCAGACATGATGGTGGTTGCCTCAGACATAACGCTGGTAGCCTCAGACATGATGCTGGTTGCCTCAGACATGATGCTGGTTGCAACAGACATGGTGCTGGTTGCAACAGACATGGTGCTGGTTGCAACAGACATGGTGCTGGTTGCCTCAGTTATGATGCTGGTAGCCTCAGACATGATGCTAGTAGCCTCAGACATGATGCTGGTTGCCTCAGACATGATGCTGGTTGCCTCAGACATGATGCTGGTTGCCTCAGACATGATGCTGGTAGCCTCAGGCTTGATGCTGGTTGCCTCAGACATGATGCTGGTAGTCTCAGACATGATGCTGGTTGCCTCAGACATGATGCTGGTAGCCTCAGACATGATCCTGGTTGCCTCAGACATGACGCTGGTTGCCTCAGACATGACGCTGGTAGCCTCAGACATGATGCTGGTTGCCTCAGACATGATGCTTGTTTCCTCAGACATGACGCTGGTAGCCTCAGACATGATTCTGGTAGCCTCAGACAAGATCCTGGTTGCCTCAGACATGATGCTGGTTGCCTCAGACATGATGCTGGTTGCCTCAGACATGATGCACGCACACACGTACACACACGCAGCTCACTCATCACACAATCTCTTTAGGCTTCCAAATGTTTGCGATAGAGGAGAGGCAGGCCATTGGGGATATCGCATAGAACAGAGTGGGAATACTATGGGAGTGTAGCCTGGGATCTGCCCCATTGGAATGTCAGGAATGAGAGCTGGGGGGTTAGAGGTCATGGCATCGAGTGTGGGGGGTGGCACGTGTGGCCTTGGCGTCAGCATGCCTTCCGTCTGTCTGCATGTTCCTGCCAGTTCACATCTCTCCCACACCTCATCCGTCACAGAAAGACCACACTTGTACCAGACGAAAGGGATGGCATGATTATGTAATCCAACTACTCATCAACTTTATTAATGATAATGAAGTGTAGTGAATACTGCAAGAGTATTTTTTTTAAAAATACACTATATATACAAAAGTATGTGGACACCCCTTCAAATTAGTGGATTCGGCTATTTCAGCCACATCCGTTGCTGACAGGTGTATAAAATCGAGCACACAGACATGCAATCTCCATAGACAAACATTGGCAATTGAATGGCCTTACTGAAGAGCTCAGTGACTTTCAGCGTGGCACAGTCATAGGAGCCCTCCTTTCCAACAAGTCAGTTCGTCAAATTTCTGCCCTGCTAGAGCTTGCCACGGTCAACTGTCAGTGCTGTTATTGTGAAGTGGAAACGACTCCGCCGCGAAGTGGTAGGCCACAGAAAGCTCACAGAAAGGGACCACCGAGTGCTGAGGCGAGTAGCGCCTAAAAATCGTCTGTCCTCGGTTGCAACACTCACTACCGAGTTTCAAACTGCCTCTGGAAGCAACGTCAGCACAACAACTGTTCGTCGGGAGCTTCATGAAATGGGTTTCCATGGTCGAGCAGCCGCACACAAGCCGCACGCAATGCCAAGAGTCGGTTGGAGTGTGTCACACCCTGGCTCTGGGACTCTATATGTTGAGCCAGGGTGTGTTCATTCTATGTGTTTAATTCTATGTTGGTAATTCAGTTGTGTTTATTTCTATGTTGGCTAGAGTGACTCCCAATCAGAGGCAACGAGTGTCAGCTGTCGTTGGTTGTCTCTGATTGGGAGCCATATTTATACTGTCTATTTTCCCTTTGTGTTTGTGGGTTCTTGTTCCGTGTTCGGTCATTGTTACCGTGGACTTCACGAGTCGTTTCTTGTTTTGTTGATTGTGTTCTATTATCACTAAAGATAATAAAGTTAAACATGTTCGTTCATCACGCTGCGCCTTGGTCTGTTCATTACGACGATCGTGACAGAAGAACCCACCATGCAACGACCAAGCAGCGTGTCCAGGGGCAGCTCTTGGGCTGGACATGGGAGGAAGCGTCGGGAGAAGAGACGGTGGAGGCGCGCCGTAGAGAGGAGCAGGCAGCCTGGACATGGGAGGAGATATTGGACGGTAAAGGGTCCTGGACTTGGGAGGAAATCCTGGCCGGGATGGATCGCCGGCCATGGAGTGAGACAGTGGAGAGGCGACGGAGAGAGGAGCAACGGCGTGATCAGGGTCGTCGTCGGACGGTCGAGAGGCAACCCCAGAAAATTTTTAGGGGGGGGCACACGGCATGGACGACGGGGCTGACGGAGGCAGAAAAGGGGCGGATTCAGAAGGCCACCAGGTTACGGATACACCGCCCTGTACGTCCTGTGCGGATGCCTCACACAGAGTGTGTGAGGGTAGGCATTCAGCCAGGACGGGTTGTGGCCGCTCTTCACTCCAGGTCTCCTATCCGTCTCCACAGCCCGGTTCGGCCTGTCCCTGCTCCACGCACCAAGCCTACGGTGTGCGTCACCAGCCCGGTTCGGCCTGTCCCTGCTCCACGCACCAAGCCTACGGTGTGCGTCGCCAGCCCGGTTCGGCCTGTCCCTGCTCCACGCACCAAGCCTACGGTGTGCGTCGCCAGCCCGGTTCGGCCTGTCCCTGCTCCACGCACCAAGCCTACGGTGTGCGTCGCCAGCCCAGTCCGGCCTGTCCCTGCTCCACGCACCAAGCCTACGGTGTGCGTCGCCAGCCCAGTCCGGCCTGTCCCTGCTCTACGCACCAAGTATACGGTGCGCGTCGCCGGCCCGGCCTGTTCCTGCCACTCGCACCAAGTCTACGGTGCGCGTCGCCAGCCCGGCCCGGCCTGTTCCTGCCACTCGCACCAAGTATACGGTGCGCGTCGCCAGCCCGGCCCGGCCTGTTCCTGCCACTCGCACCAAGTCAACGGTGCGCGTCGCCAGCCCGGCCTGGCCTGTTCCTGCCACTCGCACCAAGTATACGGTGCGCGTCGCCAGCCCGGCCCGGCCTGTTCCTGCCACTCGCACCAAGTATACGGTGCGCGTCGCCAGCCCGGCCCGGCCTGTTCCTGCCACTCGCACCAAGTATACGGTGCGCGTCGCCAGCCCGGCCCGGCCTGTTCCTGCTACTCGCACTAAGCCAGGGGTGCGAGACGTCAGCCTGGTAAGGCCCGTTCCTCCTCCACGCACCAAGCCAGGGGTGCGAGTCGTCAGCCTGGTAAGGCCCGTCCCTCCTCCACGCACCAAGCCAGGGGTGCGAGTCGTCAGCCTGGTAAGGCCCATCCCTCCTCCACGCACCAAGCCAGGGGTGCGAGTCGTCAGCCTGGTAAGGCCCGTCCCTCCTCCACGCACCAAGCCAGGGGTGCGAGTCGTCAGCCTGGTAAGGCCCGTTCCTCCTCCACGCACTAAGCCAGGGGTGCGAGTCGTCAGCCTGGTAAGGCCCGTTCCTCCTCCACGCACCAAGCCAGGGGTGCGAGTCGTCAGCCTGGTAAGGCCCGTTCCTCCTCCACGCACCAAGCCAGGGGTGCGCGTTGTCAGTCCAGCACAACCCGTGCCTGGGTCACCGGTGCCTGGTAAGGTACCGGTCAACTGCTCCACTATGGAGCTGAAGCTAACTGCTCCTGCTAAGTCCAGTTCAGCTCCAGCCGGCGGGGCCAGACTGGACCAGGGGCGCTATGGGGGGTTTATTGGAGGGTGGTGGTCAAGGCCGGAGCCAGAACCGCCGCCGAGGAGGTATGCCCGCCCAGCCCTCCCCTGTTTTGTTCAGGTTGAGGCGCGGTCGCAGTCCGCGCCTTTAGGGGGGGGGTACTGTCACACCCTGGCTCTGGGACTCTATATGTTGAGCCAGGGTGTGTTCATTCTATGTGTTTAATTCTATGTTGGTAATTCAGTTGTGTTTATTTCTATGTTGGCTAGAGTGACTCCCAATCAGAGGCAACGAGTGTCAGCTGTCGTTGGTTGTCTCTGATTGGGAGCCATATTTATACTGTCTATTTTCCCTTTGTGTTTGTGGGTTCTTGTTCCGTGTTCGGTCATTGTTACCGTGGACTTCACGAGTCGTTTCTTGTTTTGTTGATTGTGTTCTATTATCACTAAAGATAATAAAGTTAAACATGTTCGTTCATCACGCTGCGCCTTGGTCTGTTCATTACGACGATCGTGACAGAGTGGTGTAAAGCTCGCCGCCACTGGACTCTGGAGCAGTGAAAACACGTTCTCTGGAGTTATGAATAATGCTTCACCATCTGGCAGTCCGACGAACAAATCTGGGTTTGGTGGATGCCAGGAGAACGCTACCTGCCCGAATGCACAGTGCCAACTGTAAAGTTTGGTGGATGAGGAATAATGGTCTGTGGCTGTTTTTCATGGTTCTGGCTAGACCCTTTAGTTCCATTGAAGGGAAATCTTAACACTACAGCATACAATGACATTCTAGACGATTCTGTGCTTCCATGAGAATGGAATTCTAAATACAACTGTATTTAATTACTTTGTAAAATGAAATCACATATAAGGCATAAAGCGTAAGTTACAAAGCAATACTGACATTAACAAAGCATAATTCTAGACATATACAGTGCCTTGCGTAAATATTCACCCCCATTGGCATTTTTCCTATTTTGTTGCCTTACAACCTTGAATTAAAATGGATTTTTGGGGGGGTTGTATCATTTGATTTACACAACATGCCTACCACTTTGAAGATGCAAATTTGTTTTTATCGTGTAACAAACAAGAAATAAGACAAAAAAACAGAGAACTTGAGCGTGCATAACTATTCACCCCCCCCAAAGTCAATACTTTGTAGAGCCACCTTTTGCAGCAATTACAGCTGCAAGTCTCTTGGGGTATGTCTCTATAAGCTTGGCACATCTAGCCACTGGGATTTTTGCTCATTCTTCAAGGCAAAACTGCTCCAGCTCCTTCAAGTTGGATGGGTTCCGCTGGTGTACAGCAATCTTTAAGTCATACCACATATTCTCAATTGGATTGAGGTCTGGGCTTTGACTAGGCCATTCCAGTGTTGCTTTAGCAGTATGCTTAGGGTCATTGTCCTGCTGGAAGGTGAACCTCCGTCCCAGTCTCAAATCTCTGGAAGACTGAAACAGGTTTTCCTCAAAAATGTCCCTCTCTTTAGCGCCATCCATCATTCCTTCAATTCTGACCAGTTTCCCAGTCCCTGCCGATGGAAAAACATCCCCACAGCATGACGCTGCCACCACCATGCTTCACTATGGGGATGGTGTTCTCGGGGTGATGAGAGGTGTTGGTGTGGGCGGCCCTCTCTTGGCAGGTTTGTTGTGGTGCCATATTCTTTCCATTTTTTTATAATGGATTTAATGGTGCTCCGTGGGATGTTCAAAGTTTCTGATATTTTTTTATAACCCAACCCTGATCTGTACTTCTCCACAACTTTGTCCCTGACCTGTTTGGCGAGCTCCTTGGTCTTCATGGTGCCGCTTGCTTGGTGGTGCCCCTTGCTTAGTGGTTTTGCAGACTCTGGGGCCTTTCAGAACAGGTGTATATATACTGAGATCATGTGACAGATCATGTGACACTTAGATTGCACACAGGTGGACTTTATTTAACTAATTATGTGACTTTTGAAGGTAATTGGTTGCACCAGATCTTATTTAGGAGCTTCATAGCAAAGGGGGTGAATACATATGCACGCACAACTTTTCCGTTATTTATTTTGTATAATCTTTTGAAACAAGTTATTATTTTCATTTCACTTCACCAATTTGGACTATTTTGTTTATGTCCATTACATGAAATCCAAATAAAAATCAATTTAAATTACAGGTTGTAATGCAACAAAATAGGAAAAACGGCTCAACTGTCATGAATAAAACATTGAACAAATAAAGTATTCAGACACCTTCCCTTTTTCCTCATTTTGTTACATCACAGCCTTATTCTAAAATGGATTAAATATCCTCATCAATCTAGGGTACCAAAATTTTTTTGCAGCATTGAAGGTCCCTAAGAACACAGTGGCTCCTTCCTTCTTAAATGGAAGAAGTTTGGAACCACCAAGACTCTTCCTAGAGCTGGCCGCCCGGCCAAACTGAGCTATCGGGGGAGAAGGGCCTTGGTCAGGGAGGTGACCAAGAATCCGATGGTCACTCTGACAGAGCTCTAGAGTTCCTCTGTGGAGATGGGAGAACCTTCCAGAAGGACAACCATCTCTGCAACACTCCACCAATCAGGCCTTTATGGTAGAGTGGCCAGAAGGAAGCCACTCCTCAGTGAAAGGCACATGACAGCCTGCTTGGAGTTTGCCAAAAGGCACCAAAAGTACTCTCAGACCATGAGAAAAGATTCTCTGGTCTGATGACACCAAGAATGAATTATTTGGCTTGAATGCCAAGCGTCACGTCTGGAGGAAACCTGGCACCAAGCATGGTGGTGGCAGCATCATGCTGTGGGGATGTTTTTCAGTGGCAGGGACTGGGAGCCTAGTCAGGATCGAGGAAAGATGAACAGAGCAAAGTACACTTGATGAAAACCTGCTCCAGAGTGCTCAGGACCTCAGACTGGGGCGAATGTTCACCTTCCAACAGGACAATGACCCTAAGCACACAGCCAAGAAAATGCAGCAGTGGCTTCAGGATAAGTCGCTGAATGTCCTTGAGTGGCCCAGCCAGAGCCCGGACTTGAACCCGATTGAACATCTCTGGAGAGACCTGAAAATAGCTGTGCAGCGACACTCCCCATCCAACCTGACAGAGCTTGAGAGGATCTGCAGAGAAGAATGGGAAAAACTCCCCAAATACAGGTGTGCCAAGCTTGTAGCGTCATACCCAAGAAGAATCGAGGCTGTAATCGCTACCAAAGGTGCTTCAACAAAGTACTGAGTAAAGGGTCTGAATACTTATGTAAATGTGATATTTCATTTTTTTTTTTTTTTTTTGCAGACATTTCTAAAATCCTGTTTTTGCTTTGTCATTTTGGGGTATTGTGTGTAGATTGATGAGGGAAAAAAAACGATTTAATCAATTTTAGAATAAGGCTGTAACGTAAACAAAAATGTGGTAAAAGTCAAAGGGTCTGAATACTTTTCAAATGCACTGTAAATCCTAAGGTTAACTTACAAGACAAAGCATGAACAAAGATATGCCGACTAGGCCAGATGCTTAGAAACCTAGGAAATGAGAAAAATATCATACAACCGTTCTCAATGGACACTAGATAAGAGGGAGAACAACAGACCTTCATTCCATTTATACCAGATATGACTTGTTTGTATTCAAAATCAATCGTTGACCAGTACACAGACAAAACCAAAGGTAGTAAAATAAAGATATCCAATCGGATGAAACCAGCCAAAATCCATCTATGTGTGATGGCTTCAAAGTTATCTTCAGGGAACAAGTTTCAGAAAGATACCAAACATGGATACTATATCATTATTCTATCACACATTCAATAGTCAGTCCTCTGTATACTGTAACAGAGAGATACATTAATAATCAACAACTGATAAATGACTTATAAACCCCTTTGTAAATCACTGTATGTGTTAGTGAATATTCATTCGTTCAAGCATTTCACTTTAAGGGTCTACACCTGTTGTATGTCGGCGCATGTGGCAAATAACATTTTGATTTGATTGATGTGTTGTGTTTCACTACTGAAAAAGGTGGATGGCAGGTCACACTTCCCAAGCTATCTGGATTGTCATTGTGCTTTAAAACTTGCACATGTCGCACTACACTGAGAGAGGCACGGGGGCATTACAGCCTGTGGTCCAGCGGTGGCGGTGACTCACCAGGGCTTTAGTCTCCTCCTCGTCTCTGTAATAGTGTAGCTGTTCCCCGCGAAGTACGAACCAGCGTGTGTGCCAAGTCTTCACAAAGCCTCCCTGCTTCCTCAGCCAGCCACACCTGACGACATTCTGCCTGCCCAGGCCTCGGCCATGCTGTGGACTGCTCTTGGACACCGCCTGCTCCTCCATGGTTGTGGTCACACAAGAAGATCCCCCGCTAGATCTCCAGAAGATCCCCCGCTAGATCTCCAGAAGATCGCCCTGTTAGCAGTGGAGAAGAGAGCGGAGGGTTATTGAAGCTAACTTTAATATAGAGGGACAGAAGAGCTGAAGGTCTGAAAAAGTTGCTCAATTGTTGTATTATCCGATAATGCCAGCATCTATTGATATGTGAACCTGTGCGGCATTACTACCAGATCTAAACATCTGAAAAAGCTCCTACATTAATGCTAGAGAGAGAGAGAGAGAAACAGCTTATCATACAGATACAGGACTGGACCTGTCGGGCAGCCCCTGAAGTAACTCTTCTCATCAATTGTATTCAACAATGTCCTCTGTGTTGTTTTAGGAATTCAGCATTGTCTGTGTTGATCTCACCAACCCCCATTGTCTCACCTCTGAGAAGCAGAGGTGACATCATGTAGGTCTGATATCTGATTGGAGGTTCACTTTACAGTAATACTATTGGTCAATAATTCAGATTTTGAATCAAAACAACTCAGATGCTTATAAAAGTGTCTCAGATTCATTGTTCTTTCTCTTTCTTGTTCCTGAACTGCTGTGGTGAGATACTCACTCTCTCTCTCTCTCTCTCTCTCTCTCTCTCTCTCTCTCTCTCTCTCTCTCTCTCTCTCTCTCTCTCTCTCTCTCTCAATTCAATTCGATTTCAATTTAAGGGTTTTATTGGCATGGGAAACAAATGTTAACATTGCCAAAGCAAGTGAAATAAACAATAAATATGAACAGTAAACATTACATTCAGAAGTTCCAAAAGAATAAAGGCATTTCAAATGTCATATTATGTCTATACACAGTGTTGTAACAATGTGCAAATAGTTCAAGTACAAATGGGAAAATAAATCAACATAAATATGGGTTGTATTTATGGTGTTTGTTCTTCACTGGTTGCCCTTTTCTTGTGGCAACAGGTCACAAATCTTGCTGCTGTGATGGCACACTGTGGTATTTCACCCAATAGATATGGGAGTTTATCAAAATTCTTTGTGGATCTCTGTAATCTGAGGGAAATGTGGGTCTCTAATATGGTCAAACATTTGGCAGGAGGTTAGGAAGTGCAGCTCAGTTTCCACCTCATTTTGTGGGCAGTGTGCACACAGCCTGTCTTCTCTTGAGAGCCAGGTCTGCCTACGGCGGCCTTTCTCAATAGCAAGGCTATGCTCAATGAGTCTGTACATAGTCAACGTTTTCCTTACGTTTGGGTCAGTCACAGTGGTCAGGTATTCTGGCACGGTGTACTCTCTGTTTAGGGCCAAATAGCATTCTAGTTTGTAATTCTCTTTTTGTTTTCTTATGATTTGGTTGGGTCTAAATGTATTGTTGTGCTGGGGCTCTGTGGGGTCTGTTTGTGTTTGTGAACAGAGCCCCAGGACCAGCTTGCTTAGGGGACTCTTCTCCAAGTTCATCTCTCTGTAGCTTTGTTATGGAAGGTTTGTGAATCACTTCCTTTTAAGTGGTTATAGAATTTAACCGCTCTTTTCTGGATTTTTATAATTAGCGGGTATCGGCCTAATTCTGCTCTGCATGCATTATTTGGAGTTTTACGTTGTACACAGGGGATATTTTTGCAGAATTCTGCATGCAGAGTCTCAATTTGGTGGTCCCCCCAGACCTCACAACCATAAGGGCAATGGGTTCTATAACTGATTCAAGTATTTTTAGCCAGATCCTAACTGGTATGTCGAATTTTATGTTCCTTTTGATGGCATAGAAGGCCCTTCTTGCCTTGTCTCTCAGATCGTTCACAGCTTTGTGGAAGTTATCTGTGGCGCTGATGTTTAGACAGAGGTATGTATAGTTTTTTGTGTGCTCTAGGGCAACAGTGTCTAGATGGAATTTGTATTTGTGGTCCTGGCAACTGGACGTTTTTTGGAACACCATTATTTCTGTCTTACTGAGATTTACTGTCAGGGCCCAGGTCTGACAGAATCTGTGCAGAAGATCAATGTGCTGCTGTAGGCCCTCCTTGGTTGGTGACAGAAGCACCAGATCATCAGCAAACAGTAAACATTTGACTTCAGATTCTAGTAGGGTGCTGCAGACTGCTCTAGTGCCCTCGCCAATTCGTTTATATATATGTTGAAGAGGGTGAGGCTTTCTCTCTCCGTCTCTCTTTCTCTATCTCTCTCTCTCTCTCTCTCTCTCTCTCTCTCTCTCTCTCTCTTTCTTTCTTTCTCTCTCCACCCCATGGACTTTTGGGGCAAGGCCTTTCAGGCTATGATCTCGCTTTCTCTCTCTGATCATGCTTAGAATGATGCTTTGTTAATGTCAGTATTGCCTTGTAACTTTAGCTTCATGCCTTGGATGCGAATCCATTCATTTATGGAGTCAGATAAACATTTCAATAGGGTAATTGCTTGGTCTTATTACGGGTCGCATGTGATGTATATATAATATACTGTATATACACATATCAGATATTACTGCTAACTACAGACTAACCGACATGTAAATATAATGTGGGCAGTAGGTGGGTCAGGTAACGATGTAACCACATCCCTGAACAGCAGGAAGGACATCCAGATCTGATCTGATGGATCTAACCACATTACTGTGTTGTTGTTTTGTTATTTCTATTCACTTTCCATGCAGTGTCCCAGCCTGTAGCCTGTAGCCTGTAGCCTGTAGCCTGTAGGCTGTAGCCTGTAGCCTGTAGCCTTCAGCCTGTAGCCTTCAGCCTGTAGCCTTCAGCCTGTAGCCTGTAGCCTGTAGCCTTCAGCCTGTAGCCTGTAGCCTGTAGCCTTCAGCCTGTAGCCTGTAGCCTGTAGCCTGCAGCCTGTAGCCTGTAGCCTGTAGCCTGTAGCCTTTAGCCTTTAGCCTTTAGCCTGTAGCCTGTAGCCTTCAGCCTGTATAATGTAGCCTGTAGCCTGTAGCCTTTAGCCTGTACAACATTTTTATTTTTTCCAGATAAGCAAATAATTGATGCGGTGTGAGACACAGAGACACATGGTCTGTTTGTCTGTGTTGTGAATGAAGGGAGGGAATGGAAATGTGGGAGGAAGGAGGTATAGTTAGAGAGCTAACAAAATACAGCCACATTTTCAATCTTTTTTTCTGGTCCACTCACCTACCCCCCGCTCGCTACAGCCCGCCAATACCCACTCAGCACCTCGCTCACCCGCGGCTCAACCACCCGACACCCCCCCCTCACCTCCCTCGCATCACCGCCCTACAGCCCTCGCGCAAACCCGCTATCACACCCAGCATGCTAACGAAGTATCGAGCAAAGAATCCAGAGCGCTCTCACCCCAGCTCGAACACCTCGAAAAAGAAAACCCTACCGCCCGAGCGCCGAGCGACAAAACTCCTCACCTCCGCGCGCGCAGAGCGCCGGGCGGAAGAAACGTCTCTTCCCCACCCTCTCTCTCCCCTCCCTCTACTTACACCTCCCCCTCCCACCTCCCTCTCTCTCACCTCCTTTTCTCTCAGCTCCTTCTCTCTCACCTCTTCTATCACCTCCCCCCTCTCACCTCCCTCTCTCTCACCTCCCTCTCTCTCCTCTAAACATTACACTCCCAAAAGGTCCAAAGGAATAGAGACATTTCAAATGTCTTATTATGGCTATATACAGTGTTGTAACGATGTGCAAATAGTTAAAGTACAAAAGGGAAAATAAATCAACGTAAATATGGGTTGGTGTTTGTTCTTCACTGGTTGCCCTTTTCTTGTGGCAACAGGTCACAAATCTTGCTGCTGTGACGGCACAATGGTATTTTACCCAATTGATAAGGGAGTTTATCAAAATTGGGTTTGTTTTTCGAATTCTTTGTGGGTCTGTGTAATCTGAGGGAAATATGTGTCTCTAATATGGTCATACATTTGGCAGGAGGTTAGGAAGTGCAGCTCAGTTTCCACCTCATTTTGTGGGCAGTGTGCACATAGCCTGTCCTCTCTTGAGAGCCAAGTCTGCCTATGGCGGCCTTTCTCAATAGCAAGGCTATGCTCACTGAGTCTGTACATAGTCAAAGCTTTCCTTAATTTTGTGTCAGTCACAGTGGTCAGGTATTCTGCCACTTTGTATTCTCTGTTTAGGGCCAAATAGCATTCTAGTTTGCTCTGTTTTTTTGTTAATTCTTTCCAATATGTCAAGTAATTCTCTTTTTGTTTTCTCATGATTTGGTTGGGTCTAATTGTGTTGCTGTCCTGGGGCTCTGTTTGTGTTTGTGAACAGAGCCCCAGGACCAGCTTGCTTAGGGGACTCTTCTCCAGGTTAATCTCTCTGTAGGTGATGGCTTTGTTATGGAAGATTTGGGAATCGCTTCCTCTTAGGTGGTTGTAGAATTTAACGGCCTAATTCTGCTCTGCATTCATTATTTGGTGTTTTACGTTGTACACAGAGGATATTTTTGCAGAATTCTGCATGCAGGGTCTCAATTTGGTGTTTGTCCCATTTTGTGTATTCTTGGTTGGTGAGCGGACCCCAGAGCTCACAACCATAAAGGGCAATGGGTTCTATAACTGATTCAAGTATTTTTAGCCAGATCCTAATTGGTATGTCGAATTTTATGTTCCTTTTGATGGTATAGAAGGCCCTTCTTGCCTTGTCTCTCAGATTGTTCACAGCTTTGTGGAAGTTACCTGTGGCGCTGATGTTTAGGCCGAGGTATGTATCGTTTTTTGTGTGCTCTAGGGCAACGGTGTCTAGATGGAATTTGTATTTGTGGTCCTGGCAACTGGACCTTTTTTGGAACACCATTATTTTTGTCTTACTGAGATTTACTGTCAGGGCCCAGGTCTGACAGAATCTGTGCAGAAGATCAATGTGCTGCTGTAGGCACTCCTTGGTTGGTGACAGAAGCACCAGATCATCAGCAAACAGTAGATTCTAGTAGGGTGAGGCCGGGTACTGCCCTCGCCAATTCATTGATATAGATGTTGAAGAGGGTGGGGCTCAAGCTGCATCCCTGTCTCACCCCACGGCCCTATGGAAAGAAATGTGTGTGATTTTTTTCCCAAGGTTGCTGTTGACGCATACAGTGGGGAAAAAATTTATTTAGTCAGCCACCA